GCCGTTCCTCATAAGGCATCGTTTCCAGGCCTTTGACCATTTTGGCCGCCCTCCTCTGGACACGTTCCAGTTTGTCAGTGTCCTTCTTGAACTGTGGTGCCCAGAACTGGACACAGTACTCCAGGTGAGGTCTGACCAGAGCAGAATACAGTGGCACTATTACTTCCCTTGATCTAGATGCTATACTCCTATTGATGCAGCCCAGAATTGCATTGGCTTTTTAGCTGCCGCGTCACACTGTTGGCTCATGTCAAGTTTGTGGTCAACCAAGACTCCTAGATCCTTTTCACATGTACTGCTCTCAAACCAGGTGTCACCCATCTTGTATTTGTGCCTCTCATTTTTTTGCCCAAGTGCAATACTTTACATTTCTCCCTGTTAAAATTCATCTTGTTTGTTTTGGCCCAGTTCTCTAATCTGTCAAGGTCGTTTTGAAGTGTGATCCTGTCCTCTGGGGTGTTAGCCACCCCTCCCAGTTTGGTGTCATCTGCAAATTTGATCAGGATGCCCTTGAGTCCATCATCCAAGTCGTTGATAAAGATGTTGAATAAGACCGGGCCCAAGACAGAACCCTGTGGCACCCCACTAGTCACTCTTCTCCAGGATGAAGAGGAACCATTGATGAGCACCCTTTGGGTTCGGTCAGTCAGCCAGTTACAAATCCACTGAGTGGTAGCATAGTCAAGACCGCATTTTACCAGCTTCTTTACAAGAATATCATGGGGCACCTTGTCAAATGCCTTGCTGAAATCAAGGTAGGCTACATCCACTGCGTTCCCTTCATCTACCAGGCTTGTAATTCTGTCAAAAACGAGATCAGGTTAGTCTGACATGACTTATTTTTCAGAAATCCATGCTGACTATTGGTGATCACAGCATTCCTTTCTAGGTGCTCACAGACTGTTTGCTTAATGATCTGCTCCAGAATCTTCCCTGGTATTGATGTCAGACTGACTGGGCGGTAATTATTTGGGTCAACATTTGCCCTCCTACAGTCTGCCGGGACTTCGCCTGTTCTCCAGGAATTCTCAAAGATGACTGCCAGTGGTTCTGAGATCACATCTGCCAGTTCTTTTAATACTCTTGGATGCAGTTCATCTGGCCCTGGAGACTTGAATACATCTAAACTAGCCAAGTATTCTTGTACTATCTCATTAGTTATTCTGGGCTGTGTTTCCTTTGCTGAATCATTTGCTCCAAATTCTTCAAGTCGGGCATTGTTTTCTTTATCGGAGAAGACTGAGGCAAAGAAGGCATTGAGGAGTTCAGCCCTTTCTGTGTCCCCTGTTTGCATTTCACCATCTTCTCCTCTGAGTGACCCCACTGTTTCTTTGTTCTTCCTTTTGCTACGAACATACCCATAAAAGCCTTTTTTGTTGCTTTTAACCTCTCTATTCAAGGACCTCAAACCTGCTCTCCGTTAAATTCAATTTCAAAGCAGGAAACGATATAATAAACGTAACAAATAGAACATTATTAAACCAATTATATATGAAATGGATATAACCTTAACAGCAGCAAAGGAGCAAAGTCCAGCAAGGGCAGAGCCCATCTCCAACAATAACGATTGTACTGCACTTGCTTGAAGTCCCCTCTTCCGCACAGCTTGAATATCTTGATGAAATCCCTGCTGATGCAGACATTCCCTTGTTCTCTTGACCCGAGGCTCCTGTTTTAATGAGACTGTTCTATTGCATATTTTAAACTATGGACATATTTTAATGTTTTAATTGGGATTCTTTTACGGTGTCTTTTAATTATTGTATTTTAATGGTGTTGTGAAATTGTTTTTAAAAAAATATTTGGTGAACTTCTTAGAAGCCTGTTTTGGCACTAAGTGGTATATAAAATAATTCATAATGAACAAACAATAGCTAATGCTTATTTATTTATTTATTAATAATTAATTCATGTATGCCCTCTTTTCCTTTTGGCCAGTTCACCACAATTCTGAGCACACATACTGGAGAGTAAGCTTCAATGAGCTCAGGGGGACTTACTTCAGAGTAAACATGCTTAGACTTGCATCACGAGACATAGTTCTGTTACCTTAAACAATAATGAATGTTACCTTTGGCAAAAACACTTTGGTAAGTCTCTCTTGAAATATATAGTTGCAACTGAAATGATTTACAATCGGGGTTGAATAATTTTGATTGCAACTATGTGTTTGTGTAGTGTGTGTGTGTGTGTGTATATCTATCTATCCATCTATCTATCCATGCACAACCAACAACATATTTTGGAAACAGTGTATGTGATTAGTGCGCAGAAAAACCAAGAAGAAAATATTGCAGTTATTTTTTTAGTTAAAAGAGATGGACAAGTTATCCACAACATGTTTGACTTCCTGAAGTCCATCCCATGCACTTCTAAGACTGCCCTTTTAAAAAGAACATTGAGTACACTATTATGGGTTTCCACCTGCCGACTGAACCGCTTTGTGGAAACAAGTCAAGAATTAAAGCCTGTCAATAATTGGCATTGCCATGAGCTATTTAATTTCCTTTGAAATGAATTCATTATTATTCCCTAGACATCAATCAGATTCCTCGTTCATGGCTGAGAAAGCTCTACAGCAACAAGCCTTAAAATATGAATGAAGTGTCAGGTGGCAATTATTGCCAATTATGGATCTGGCAAAGGAAGATATAAACTGGAAGTGTGCATCTTTACTCAGAAGTCTCCTGTTGTGTCCAACAGGTCTTACTCCCAAATAAATGAACACAGGAGTGTAGGAACTCAGAAGTAAGTGACATTGATTTCAATGTGACTTACCCCCAAGTAAGTGTGCATAGTAGGGGTGGAGAAGCTTTTCCCCACTAAGGGTCCCCTTCCCTCAGAAGTAATGCTTCAGGGGCTGCATGTGTGTAGTAGGTGTAGTCAGAGATGCAATTCTATACATATGCCCTGGAGAATAAGTCTCATTGACCCATGTGGTACTTTGGAGCAGACAAGTGTAGGAGATCAGGTAGGTAGCCATGTTGGTTTGACACAGTCAAAATAAATTTACAAATTGTCCAGTAGCACCTTAGAAACCAACTAAGCTTTCGTGTGCATACACACTTCTTCAGATACCATGCATTCACACGAAAACCTATACCAAGAACAAACTTAGTTGGTCTCTAAGGTGATACTGGACAACATTTTTATATATGTATAGGAGAAGACATGCATACATCATCAGACAGTTCAGGTGTGCATGTGCTCAATAGAGGCCAAGCCTTTTCAGAGCCATATACCAACGAATCATTTATTATTTCAGGGTAATGACACATTTTGAGTTATGTTCTATGTGTGATCACTAGTGTCAGATCACAGCTGAGTAGCAAAAATGAAAGAAAAGTCCTACATGTGTTCTAAGCTGCCTGTATGCAACAGTGGTCAAGGACAGGGACTAGCTCAGGTCCCAACTTCACTTTCCATTTAAAGAAGTATCATACCACTTTAAACAGCCATTGTATTAACCCCAAAGAATCCTGGGAAGTGTAGTCAGGGAAATATGAGTCCTCTAACAACCCTTAACAAACTACACTTCCAGGATTCCTTGGGGGACGCCATGATTGTTTCAAGTGCTATAGCACTGCTTTAAATGTATAGTTCAGGTGGGACCTCTGTGTATTGCCATGCAAGCACTATAAAGCTGTGCCTCTTCAAAGACCTCTGTTGGACTCAGGAGCAGTTAGGGGATTGGTTGTGCAGGCTGCAAGAAGCCACAGAGATTCCATTGTGCCCTGAGCTCTCTCCTGCTTATTTGTTTAGTGCCAGGGAGGCCAACTTGCTCCCTTGTTTCTGTGCTTTTAATGGCAGCTTAAATAGGAAGTGATACTGCTAGCACCACATCCACAAACTACTTTGTCAGCTTATTCCTGCAGATCAAGTTGCTGTTGCTGGTAAAGGATCAGGACAGGCTATTTTTCTGGCCAATTGGCAACTAAGATATAAGTGATAGCAATGGGCTTCCTGTAACACTTAGCAGCTGATACCGCCTCAGAGGAACCGCACTTTCCTGTATGGTCTGTGATAGACAGCTATTAAAGTGAAAATCCTCCACCGTCATTAAAAAGAGATCAGTAGAAATTTTGAAATGGAGGCTTAAATTACTTCTGGATTTATCCCATTTTAGCATTGTTCACATGATAACTTACTATTGGATGTCAATTTGCCGTAACGCATTCTCACAGTGAATGCAATACGAATGTGAACAATATTTAGGGTTGATTGCAATATTCTTAGCGAAATTAATTTCACCGCTGATTCAAATTGCCTACGTATGGGTCCAATGCCATTTTTAGTTTTGTAAGAAAGGCTTTTCTGGACAGCTGCAAACTATGAATGAAACGCACCAAGATAGAAAATTGGAATTAATATGATTAGGTCATCATTTTAAGAGACATATCAAGGACATGAGCCAAAAGAATTTCAAGAAAAGTTCTCATTTGAGCTGAGAAGTGTTATTCATTTATGCTTTAATTTAAAGTGAAGTAGGTAGCTGAATGATCTCCTGATTATAAAGCACATGCACTTAGAATAGGTTACCACTGGAAGTAATAGAGGATTATGTTTATTGCCTGTGTTAAGGCACCTAGCACTTAATTTTCATCTCTTCAGGCTGATGCCTTTGATGGCTTCCTCATTTCATATCTGTGGAAACTTCAGTAGTTATTCTAAAACATAATCTCACAATATGCTCTTTGTGTGTGTCATAAATGCACACATCCCAGTCATCAGGTTGAAGGATGTGGGAAGAGTAGACTGTCCCACTTGGAGGGAACGGCTGGCTGGAACCTGAATAGGAATGCTCCTTTTATGAGGGAGGATATACTGCAATGTTTTGTTTCAGAGCTCACTTGTGATGTAAGAAGGGGGAGAATGACTCATTTAAAAAATAGGTCTGTCAGTGATTATGACTGCCTTGTCTGTGTTCTCTTTTCACTTCTAGAACATCATGTTCAACCTACCCCTTCCCCTGACATCATTGTGATGTGTGATTAGCCACTCTGGGTCCACATCACTGGCTGCCACTGGTGGGAAGTGGCCTCTTGTAGGCCAGCATAAGGTAGCAGACAGCAGGCTCTAACTGTGGGATTTAGTAGCAGATTGCATAAGCCCTTCTGGATCATTGGGATAGCTCATAGGCAAAGGGAACAACGTGCATGTCTCCAATTGCTCTACAGCGCCACCCTGATATTGGTGGAGAAAGCATGTCACAGCTTGTCCGCCCAACCAGCAAACACAATCTTGGTAGCCAATCTGGACCCTGGTGGCTGTTTCAGTTGCTTATCAGCCAAAGTAGCTGTTTTACCAGGTACTTTGTTTCCTCGCTGGTTGAGTCCTGTCCTGAGCTTTGTCTTACTTGGAAGCTGTACCTGAATTAAGCTCCAAGCCATCCATTCTCCAGCCATCCAGTCTGTTCCCCAGCTAGTCACCATCTCTGACACTTGATAAAATGGGTTCTATTTTTTTCCTTTTTATTAATACTTTTAAGTATTTGAGCTATACAGAATACAGTAAAGTGAAAAAAGAAAGAAGGTGCAATATATGGACGCATACACACACACACAGTATTGCTAATACATATATTATTATTAATAACCTACTACATTCTGTATAAACTCGTTCCAAATATCAATATATTTATGCAAACAAAGTCTGCATCTATAACTGATCTGTTCATATGTTGCAAGTGCTGCCATGTCTTCCATCCATTGATTAAATGGGACCATATTTTTATTTTTCCAGTTCATCGATACTAGTCTTTTGACCATAGTTAGGGGCGCATAGAATCCATTCCCACTGTCCAGTTGTCAACTTCCATATAATAGGTATATAATTCAAGAGAATATTTTCCTCTGAAATCTTAAGTTTTTTCATACAGTCAAATTTATGCAGTTGGCTTCTTAATGAGCAAATATTTTTGGCTTTCACTTTCTTAGCTAGGTGGTCGCTGTTTTTATGGATGGTTATATTTACAGTGGGTTTTACTCGGGTTAAGTACTTAATTCATTCCGGAGGTCTGTTCTTAACCTGAAGCACCACTTTAGCTAGTGGGGCCTCCTGCTGCCGCCGCACCACCGGAGCACAATTCTCATCTGTTCTTAACCCGAGGTACTATTTCTGGGTTAGCAGACTCTGTAACCTGAAGCGTATGTAACGTGAAGCGTATGTAACCTGAAGCATATGTAACCCGAGGTACCACTGTAATGGATTTTATTCTGTGTTTTGCCATGATACTAGTACCGATGAAAGGTAAGCTATGAATCTTTCAGAATAACCAAATGAATAAATAAATACAAGCTGGAATATGCAATCCCATATACAATATGATCTGACAGATAAGACGGAATAATTATTTGTTTAGTTTCTTACATTTATATCCTCCTGCTCTTCCATCATGGAAGCCACTGGAGCATATAGGTGATTCCTACATTGTCACCCATCCAAACACTGACCAGACTTAGAACTGCTTAGCCTTAGCAAGGTGGTGGCTTCATGTGCCTTCAGCCCATGCCCTTGGTCCAAATAATACTAGTTCAGTTACTCAGTAAAAAGAAAGGTAGGGTCTCACACATCAGGGAGAAATACAGAATGTATACTATAGGACAGGACTAGATGTTATTTTTATGCCTCTGTTTTATGACTGTTACAAAATTATCTACATAAGAATAGATGCAAGCATGGGGATGAGAGTAATGCTATTTTTTTCTCATCACCCACTGAGCAGAACGAATGGCAAATTCTGCAGGTGAATTTGAGGGGGCTAAACATACTTGCACATTTCCCCAGCTGCTCGTTTCATATACTGTACAGTATAACAGAAAGATAGCTAGGGTGTAGAGGGGACTCACGAGGATACATTTCCATGTAATCCAAGTGCTAAATCTTTTAACCACCCTGAATATGTTGGACAGGAAGGCCCTGTAGCATTCTGCTTCTACTTCAACAATCTTTTTGTCCCCAAGGAACAGCTTCGTTTTGCTTTGTGTAACATGACATTTCACCAACACTGAGCTTAAAAGAGTTGTGAGATCGTGGCTGGCGATTTACAGAAAATACAAAGGAGCATTTTGGTTGGCAATATTTACACTTCTTCTTCTTCTTTTTAATGCTTAGCCGAAGAAATTTGTTTTAATGCTGCCAAATGGGAGTTTTCCATCACTGTCAGTCACTTGCATGATATAGCTTCATTGAGAGCATTCATTGAAGTGGGGGGCAGGAATACTAAGTAAACAGTGGTGGAAAATGTTATTGCTTATTTTGGCTGGATATATTGGAAGCCATATTTTATTATTTTGTTTTAAATGGAGAAAAGGTGAAGCCCTCAGACTTAACTAATACAAATGTATATAAATCATCAAAATAAATGAATAAACCCTGTGGGAGAAACAAGACAAGAAGAATGATTATACTCTTTCTCTCTCTTTATATTAGGGAATCAATAAAACAATGGCCTTTTTATAGATATGGCAAAGGCCTGACTTTTGTACTGATTTTGCAGGTAGGAAATACTATTTTGTGCATGAATTTCAATTAATTGATTATGATTTTATGTAAACTGTGTTATTTTTACCGTTGTTAGCCGTTCTGAGCCCGGCTTCGGCTGGGGAGGGCGGGATATAAATTAAAAAAATTATTGTTATTATTATTAAAACAACTTCTATTCAAAGCTATTACATTACCATTGTGAAAGAGGGTCCCCCCAAGGCCTTAGGTTTTGGTGATTTTATTTTGGATTTCATTTGTCTTGGCAGGGCTAGCTAAAATCTAAGGCAAAGTATACACTGGGGGGCTGAAATCAGCATATACACTGGATGCACAATGAACTGACATGATGAAGCAAGTTCAAAGTAGGCCCTGAAGGGGAAGGCTGGGGAAACAGTAGGTGAGAATTACTCATGCTCCTTTCAAGAGAACAAGGAAAGCCTAAGAAGTCAAAGGAGGACCACACAGAGAACGGGAAGGATACATTTGTGTGTGAAGAAGTGGGCCGAGGAATCAGTTTCTTTTGTCAGCATGTCAAGCAATCTTCTCCTTGACTGGGGACCCCCTAAGTATACAAGCAGGAATCCGCTCTGTGTTGAGATGACCCTTTCCTTCTGAATAAAGACCCAGCAAGAGTATTTATTTATTGCATTTATACCTCACTTTTCCTCCAAAGAGTTGAAGGTGGCATTCATGGCTCTCACAACCCTGAGATGCTGAGAGCTGGTGACTGGCTCAAGGTCACCCAGTGGTTCCATGTCTCTCTGGGGATTTGAACCCTGGTCTTCCAGGGTTTTCCGGGGTTCAGATGGACATCTTTGTGGTCCTGTAGATGAAGTCATGGTATATCACCGTTTCCTTTCCCTTCCTTTTGGCACAACGCACAGGGTCTAATGACTGATCAAAATCTGTTTCTTGAACTTAATTGCTTTGGAAATGCGTTTGCAGAAAGTATTTGCCCCCTCGGTCTTCACTTCTGTCACACTGCTTATAGGCTGAGGTTGCCTTAACCAGCAAAACACAACTACAGTTCCAGCATCACTGCTTGTGCACTTGGCAGAGGATGAATTAGATATTTGTCACTTTTTTCCATCACACTGTGCAGAGACTCTCATGTTGCAGAAGGATCTTGCTTGTTATATCTGTGTGAATATGTGAGGGAGGGTTTATATATGCCTTCCGTGTTTGGTTTTAGAACTTGTACTTGCAGAACTAGCCCCTCGGTTTTGGTTTTAGTTTTTTAATTGCAAAGTAATGTTCAGGCTACTAGATTTGAATCTGAGGTGTCAAAATGACCTCGGCCGGTCCAGCACCAGCTGCAGATTTTGAGATGCCCTTGAGCAAGATGCCCTCAGTGGGCTCCACTCCTGAGTGGGCCCTCCTCCTCCTTGCTGCTGGTCACCACTGCCTATTTGCTTGCACTTTTCCTCTGGGTTCAATCCAGGAGAGGGGAAGGGGCTGAGTGAGGCAAGCAGAGGCTCCTGTATTAAGTGAGAGAGTCAGGAAATCTGTCAGGAGGAGGAGGTCAGTGGCACAGAGGAAAGACACAGTTTGAAGGAATACACCCTTATCTGGGAAGTGACTCAGCACACACTCTAACGAGAATAGGAGAGAAGCAGGGCTGGAGAAAGCATATTAATTCTTCCTGTAATAGCAAACACTTTTAGCAGCTGTTTCTCATTTTCCTAGCTTCTGTCACTGTTCACTTGCTTTGAGGGGGTCTCTGGGGCCTGAGCCTGGACCCTCTACTCAGGTGTGAGCGTAGATGCATATCCAGTGATGCTGACCTACAATTTGCAGCAGATTAAATCTATAAATGAGAAGTGATGGATCCAAGGCTTGTTTTATATTATTTCTATCTTGTCACACTCCTCTAAAGAGGCTTTGGGGCACTTTGCAGAACAGCATGCATCAATAAAATGCATTATCTTAAACTTAAAGCAGCCGTAAAAAAAAAAAAAAATCTATACACAGCAGCCGGCAGAACAGTTCAATAGCAAAGAAGCAAACCACAACCTCCAGGGAACTGCATCCCCTCTCTTTGAGGTCCTTTAAACTGTGACAGGGCAGTCCCATTACAGTTACAACAAATGTAACTCTAACTGGAGCAATCCTGCTTCAATTGGCACCTGACGTGGTGAATGAGTCTGTCGCCTTGTTTGCAAAGACACCTTTGTGAAATGAGGACAGTGGAGGTGAACTGGTGATGTCACTACATGAACACATCATGTCGTGTTTCAAGGTGTCAGAACGTTACTTGTGTGATGCTCCTTAAATGTGCTAGACTGGAGTTAAGAGCAAAGGAATCAAAGGCTTGATTTGAGATAAGGAGCAGAGCAATCCACACTTCCGATCGGCCCTGCTGGACGGGGGTTGGGTGTGGCAGAGGTGCACCTCTGACAGCAGGAGGCCACCACCGTAGAGGTCCCTACTGTACCTGCCAAAAGCACAGGCAGAAGCTGCCACCAGCAGTATCTCACAGGTAGTAGCCAGCACAAACTTCCAAAATGAGCATTTCTGGGGAGTAGGTGAAGCTGAGCTGGGCAAAGATTCACTAGATCTGAAGCCAGTCCAGTTGCTGGTGATGGGCTTGATCCAGACATCTCTCCTAACCCAGCCTGGAGGTGGTCTTGTGGAACTGTCTACTTTACTGCTGCCTCACATCCCACCTGGAGAACATGAAGAGCTGGGCTCTGGATGCAGTCGTGGCTTCACTGTTCCATTCAGCCCTGCTGCTCCTGACTGGGAATGAGGATTGATCTTCAAACTGGTTAAATGGTGGTTTGGGCAGGTGATAGTCCTTGGATGCCATAAAGAAGTACATTAAGGAGTCATGCGCTTTTTTAAATAGTGATAAGGACTTTTTTTAAAAAAAAAAAAACGCTCTGTGGCTGTCTGTGGTACAATTTTGTAACTTACAGTATGCATCATTGTATGTTGACACTAGTTACAATTATATCTGCATTTAACAATGCTTTGGGCTCTTTCTAATTAATCAGACAGGTTTTATACAGAAGGTGCTTAGATGCATTTGAAATGTTAATGTTCTCCAAGGTGTGGATGTTCCAGAGAAACTATGACACAATATCTCTCTGCTTGGCAAATGACACAGATGAAGCTGTGAAAAGGAATATATTGCAAGTGATAATAGATCAGATTTTTCAGTTCATTGTCAGCATCGGGGACCTGATATGCATAAAATGTAGGTCACAGCATTCCATTGAGCACCCATATCTAACTTTAATAGGAAAATAAACCGTGTTACTCTGAAACAATGGGCACCAGTGAGAAATAAAAACGTTTATGATACAGCATTGCTTTTTAAGCGACTTTCGGTAGTACCGAATTCCTATAGCACTCATTAAGTAATTTGTTTTCTTTACAATGCAGTTTAAATAGTTTATCTTTTCTATTTTTCTGGGGGTTTTATAGTTGGAGAATAGGCACTGCAGACGAGATTTGCCTATTGAACAGTCTGTCACTACACGCCTGCTAACAGTGACGAATAACTGGGGGAATGAACGAAACGACAGTAGACAAGAGAGAACTGGCCAGCCACATTTCTTTTCAAAGTCCTCAATATTGCTGCTTTAGCCTCCATGAAATAGAGACGATGTGAACGTTCTCAGTTTTGGGGGTTCAGGGACAATTCGATTTGCAATCAGATGTGAAACTAGACTTATCTCAAGTGAGTCTTTCATTAAGGCAGGAGCATCTAACTTGTGGCACTCCAAGATGGTGCCGGACTCCAACTCCCATTATCTCTGAACATTGACTGTGTGGGTGAGATGATGGGCGTCGGAGTCCAACAACATCTGAAGGGTCTCAGGGGCTCCCCCTACTCGGCTTAAGGTTTTTCTAAAGCACTGAAAATTAAACTGGGTTATCCTGACTCAGTTTGGTAAAGCACCAAATCAGGGCCCTCCTAATCTTGTTGGAGCTGAAAGGTTGGACACTGGAGGTATTGGGTTTGACCAGCCACCAACCAATAGTCTGACAGGTGAATTTCTCTAACAGAACATAAACCTCGTACATTCTCTATATCAATCTTTTACTGTGGCAGCACCTGCACTTTGGAACTCTACCTACTGACATCAGACAGGCACCCTCACTGTACCCCTTTCAGCACCTACTAAAAACATTTTTTGTTTAGGCAAGCCTCTCCAGATATGCAGAATGTGGGCATGTGTTTTAATCCACCTCCGGCTCTTCCCTGATTTTAATTGCTTTTTGAATATTTTAAATTGCTGTTTCTACTGATAATTTTATTGTTTTATTCTTTTTTTGCAGTACTTTGGGGGAGGGTTACAATCAATTTTTACAATAAATAGGATGAATTTATTTATCAATGTTTTGGTGCAGAGGGGGACTTGTCATGCTTTACAATCAAACAGCATACAAAATTTATGAAATAATAACTAAACAAACAAACAAACAAATAAATATTCTCTTGGGGCTGTCATTTTTGTTGTATCGGGAGACAACTGGGAGTCAGAAATTCTTGCCAATTTACTTCAGATCACCCAGTAGATTGTGACCCACTTTCTCACCACCCCTCCTTTATTGTGTTAGTGTGCCTCTCAGGATGCAGGCACTTAGCTGCACATGTGGTGGGTCTGTGATGTTATGGCAGGATTCCAGTTACAAAGGTTCCAGGGAATCTCCAGAATTTTAACCATGAACACAGGACCTTTGCTTTCACTCCCCTCCATTTTTATTCTTAGAAACTTAGATTTATAGGGAAATTATGAACAAGAGCTGCTGCCAGCTATTAAACCAGTGTTCTCCAAATTACTATGTTACTAAATGGATGCAAAGAAAAAACAGAATTCAGATAATGCTGGATGGTCCTCTTAGGAATGTGTCCAGAATGCAGATTTTCACCTGGAAACATGAATGAAACAAAAGAAAAGTAAGTAGAAAATAATTTTATATCAAACTCGAGGGCTCTTCTCCCAAATGTGAAATGTGAAAGCTCCCCCCCCCCAAGACAAGGACAATATGAGAATGTCATGTCTGCAAACATACATCTTTAAGGAGCTGATATTTGTCTAAATCAGAACACTGTGTGAGGCTGCAGCATGCAAGGATAAAGCATATTAAGAGAGATTCAACAAGACAGGAAGGCAGACTATTATAATAAAGGGGGAAGGACAATATTACACATACTGATAGTAATATCAGGCTTCAACAGCTGGGAACGTTTAGAGTAATGTGAAAAGAAAATTGTTGAAGAATGAAAACTTAGGCACTATTTATTGTTGTTTGATGGATTCTGCCCTCCCCATCATAGCTTAGAGGCTCTTCAAAGAGATACAGCATATTTAAATGCAAAAGGTTAAAAAAAACCATAGTTAAAGAACACAGGCTATAAATGTAGGTTTCTCTGTGTATATCAGCTTCAAAGATGCCACAGGCACCTAGTCTTAAAATGCAATAACCAGAGCAGGGCTACTCGTAACTCCTGTTTAAACAAATTTAAAGCAAAATTAAAAGAGCAGCTCTGTTCAGTAGTCTTTCTCTGAGATCTGTGCAGCTGTGGGCCATATGGATGATGGGAATTCCATTCCACCCTTTGCTGCAGATATGTGGGATTGTTAC